TGTGTGTGTGTGTGTGTGTGTGTCTACATATGTGTATTGATGTTTGATGTGTTTTGTAAAACTGTTTTTAGTTGTTTTTCCATCGTATGTTCATCTGTTTTGGATTAATTTGTGTGTGTGTGTGTGTGTGTGTAGGTGAAGAGGTGAAGGTCGGAGACATCCCCAAGCCCTCCCTCCCGTCCCACCTTCCCAAGAAACCCCTCCCCCCAAAGACAAGCTCCTCCTCTTCCTCCCAACCCCCGCGGCGTCCCGAGCGACCCCCTCCTGTAGCGTCAGTACACAAACGCACAAACACACACACACAGAAAACATCCGCACATCCCTGAGCGTCCCGAGTCTAACGCTGTTGTATGGTTTACCTGCTCAGGTGTGAAAGCCCCAAGTCAGAGGGCGGGGCTTCGACACCAGATTCTGCCCCTGACAGGTCACAGGAGACCGGTGAGTGCGATTGACAGGAGCATCGACCAATGAGATCAGGACACGGTGCCTGGACAACAGTCAGAGGGCTCTGTCTTCATGTGTGTGTCACCTACTGAGGAATGTGTGTTTTCGTGTTGTGTGTCTGTGCAGACGTGGACCTGGACGCGGTGGTTCCATCTATGGAGAAACTGAGTCATCCGACGGCGACGCGGCCGAGAGTGACGGACCGCCGACCTCGTTCACAGATCTTCACAGCGGTGAGTGTGTCAGTCAGACTCCTCAGAATGGAAGGTCTACATGCTACTTCACGTCTTCATGGTTTGATGAACTCGTTTTTCTCTCCGTCTCTCTCTCAGTCTTCTCTCTCCGGTATCGACCTGGACTCCCCGGCAGCGGAGGACAGGAAGGAGAAGGAGAGAGGGAAGGAAGAGCCGGAGGCTGTTCCTGTCAGATCTGTGGACGTTTCGCTGAGAAAAGGAATTCCCACCATCCCTGTACGACCACTCAACACTGTCGCATTATTTATTTGATCCAGCAGAGGGCACCACACTGCAGATCCTCTGATTCCACACATTCAACAGATTCTTAAAACTTCAAATCAATCTCACTCAGATTTCCATTAGTCGCTTTGTAGTTGAGTAAAGTTTTGTCATCTTGTTTATGTTTGTATCTTCGATTGTTTTCAGCACTTTGAATTCAGATTGAAAGTTTGTTCTTGGGCTCGTTGACAAAATAATCTCGAAACAAAACTCAAGCAGAACCAGCAGGTGAATGTTTCTTCTTCCTGTTTTGAAAAGGCGCCTGACGGTAAAGCACCACTGCCCACCAAACCCACTGTCCTGACCCCGCCGAACTCCGCCCTCCGCCCCACCTCCCAGTCTTCCTCCTCGGGACTGAGCCCCTCCCCCGAGCTCCGGCACTCGCCCCTGACCCCGCCGACGGTGGAGGAGCTGAGGACCCAGCTGAGAGACCTGAGGACCTCCGTGGAACTGCTGAAGAGCCAGCACAGGTGAGTGCGTGCGTCATCGCTGTGTGAGACCAAACGTGTGTAGTCACATGTCAGGATGATGATGTGTGTGTGTGTGTGTGTGTGTGTGTGTGTGCTTCAGGCATGAGATGAAGCAGTTGACCAGTGCGCTGGACGAGGAGAAGAAGATTCGTCTCAGTTTACAGGTGAGACTCAAAAGAGAGTTTATCAGGTTCATTTTTTTATATTTTCAGTTCAACACAAAACTCATTTTCTTGGAAATAAACTTTTTACGTATATAAATTCATATGAACTGTTACCTGTACATTTAATTCCAGATGTTAAATGGATTCAAATAAAAAGCTTTTGACCTGTAGAGGCACTACGGAGCATATTCCTGTTTCACGCTCCTCCACTGATCTGCAGGTGGCGATAACGCACCAACAAAGAAGAAGAATTTAACTGAGCAGGATTGAAAAATTATTTTTTTTAAGGAAATGCAAAGAGTTAAATCTTAAGGATCCACAAGACAGATTTGCTGTTTTCTCAGTTTTATAATTTCATTGAAGTCATCATGTAATAAAGCTAAAGAGTCAAACGTCTGTTATTGTAAAACTGTGCGGCCTGTGTGTGTGTTTGCTTCACAGATGGAAGTAGAGCACATAAAGAAGAACCTGTTGAAATAACGACTGAAGCATCCTCACCGGCGCTCTCTGATCCCATCACCACATCGGAGGCCACGTGTTTCAAAAAGATTTTCACTGTTGGTCGAGACACTTTGGCCGAGAAAACGTTTGTGCCAAACGATCATCACGATCGCCATCAGCAACCAATCAGCACCATGGAATCAGCACCTCCCTCCTCCACACGCCTTATCCTGTGTTTACGTCTTGATTTTTAATTTTTAAAAAAGGCTTCTCTGTTCGGTTCACCTTTGTCTTCGTCAGAGCTCGCTGTGCCACCGGTACTGACTGACGGCCCGCGGCGACAGAGCTGCGGTTGTCGTGGCAACCTCACCGGTACTTTTTGTTTTTCCCGAGTGCGAAGTAAAGTTTGGACTGGACATCCGTAGCCCGGAGGAGCAGACGACCTCTGAGCCGGTCTGTGGCCTCTCTGTGGCCTCGGCCTCGTGTGTGTCTCTTGTTTTCCATCCATGTGAGGACCCAGGTGTTAGACCTGCTAAGTGACGTCACGGTCACCGGTTCTGATTCAGGTTAAAACCCAAATTGAAGCACATCATTAGCATCAGTATTACTCATAAACATGTTGTGCGCGCTGTGTGTTGATGCTTCTATCGTACACTGCAGGCAGGTCATTGTGAAGCATCAGCCGCTGACAACACAGGCGTTCTTTCTGTTCCCCTTGGTGTCATATTATTTCAAATTCCTGTTTAGGACTACAAGCATGAATCAAATCTAACCCACAGGACAAGTTCTGACGCTGTAGGTGCTATTTCGACGAGTCGTTTGTCATTCTGGGAAAAAACTTTTTTACTTTCTCAAAGCACAGTTAGATAAGAAGACTGATTCCACTTTAATGTCTGGAAATGAAGGAAACAGCTCGATTCTGTCCAAACAGCTGATCAGTTACCTCCAAAACTCAACATTGAACCCCCCCCCCCCCCATAAACACATGATCGAGCGCAGACTGCTGGAAGACGACTTTATTTATTGATGGCTAAAGAGAATCTGGACAAATGCGATTCAACAAATTAACGTCCTTACGTTTGAGGAAAGGAAAACAATCTCAGAGCCCAGCGGCTAAAATCTGATGACAAGTTACGTTTACATTCCGACTGACAACCTGAGAATCTTTCATTACTTGGCTTCAAATTGATTTTCAAGAGAAGCACACGTCACCACACGAACATGCCGATCTATGTTTTTTTGAACTCACCAAACTCGACCAAAAGCATAAGTTTGACTTCTTTTGTTTTTGCTTTGGCACTTTTCCATTATAACAACATGAAACAGCTGTGCTGATCACATCTCATCCCACAGCTCAGACCAGGATCCACCTGATGTCAAACAGCAGCTGAAGATTAAAGTTGAGAACAGTGTTTGAGGAATGTGGTGAGACGTCCTCACAGGAAGATGGAAACGTGTTCAAACATGTGTGTGTACGACTGTTTGCCTCCCGTTCATATATGTATGTGCACAGAGTCTATGGCAACCCGTCACTGTGGCCTTCCTGCTTTACTCCAAATCTTTCTTTCTTTTTCTTTCTTCCTTTCTTTCTTTCTTTCTTTCTGTCGTATGACAACGAGAAAACTGCTACAACTGAGGCTACAAGTTGTTTTCTTGACTTGGTCCTGTTTCTCCAAGATAGTGATAAATATATATACTTTTATATTTCAGTGTAATAAAGATGCTATTATGTACTGTACGCGTGCATATTTTATTCTTTTAAGTGAATCGGTGCTTCATTATGAATGGCAGTTATAGAGCTGTGTGTGTGTGTGTGCGTGTGTGTGTGCGTGCGTGTGTGTGTGTGCGTGTGTGTGTGCGTGCGGTCACTAAAGCAGAAGTGAAAGTCCAGATTCTTCTATTGCACAATAAAGAGAACAGAATTGTTTGCATGTAAATGAGACACGATAAAAACAACTGGAAACCCTGACGTATTCTTGTAGAGGAACTTGAGCCACATGAGCCGAACTTACTTTTATAAAGTTGGGGAAATTTCAAGAGACAGATTACACAAACCAATTTAGAGAAGACGGTCACAATAACTTGAAAATTATAATGATGTCACAGTTAAAACATTTATATTTTGTCAATTTGGATCCATAAGGAAACTCCTATCTTTACTGCAGATATTCAGAAAGGACCAGTGGCTACTCTCAACTCCACTTCGGGTCCAGTAGCATGTGTCCTTTCTGTCATAATGAGATTGATGGTCTCTGGCACCTCAGTCAGTGTCTTATTAACACATACCAGCAGTGTACTCAGAGATCACGTAGCTTTAATCCAAGAAGGAACAGAGCGTAAACTGCGTAAACTGGCCCCTTACTTACTGAAATAGACCTGTAAGAACAAAAATGGACAACACAGAGCGGAGGGAAAGTTGAAGAGTATAATATATTTGAATCCCTATTGGCTGTTGAGGACAACTGAGAATAACTTGGCTGGTGCGTCCGGCGCGTAAAGTACGCACAGTTTTATATTTAGACATCCAGAGACGCGGTGATAACATTACAGACTGTGTGAGGGGCTGATTGTGTCCCGCAGAATAAATACTGTCCCCGAGGAAAAGCGTCAAAAGCGGCTTGGAGGCGATCGAGTCCCAAATTAAGGAGAATAAATACATCACCTAGCTCTCCTCCCTTAGTCCGCACCTCCTCCTCCTCTCTCTCTCCCTCTCTCTCGGTGATCTAGTCGGATCCAGTCTGGGGGAAGCTGGAGTTCCTGGGGCGAGATAATCGGCACATGATGTGGGTTAATGAGGCGGAGGTGCGCGGGGACAAACTCAGACGCGCTCCGCTCCAGCGACGACAGGTGGGCACGGAGTGAGCGACGGGACGAGAAGACGGAGGAGAAGAGAGAATAGAGGAGTAAACCCGAAAGGAAAGGTGGAAGGAAACCGGAGAGGACAGGAGATTACGCACCAAAGCCTCCCCACGTTCGCGCTATGGAATCGGGGCAAAGCGCGCAGGTGGCCGACATGGCAGGGGAGCACTCCGCCGGGGCGAGCGTGGAGAGGGGCGACGTGTCCAGCCCCTGTCCCGCGTTCAAGCAGCGCTCCCTGCGGGCCGTGTACGTGCTGAACGACGGGCTGAAGGCGGTGATGGCGAGCAGCCCCGAGTCCGGAGCTCTGCAGTGTCTGCAGAGAGCCTGCGACTCCGAGAGCGCGCTGCTCACCACCGTCACCTTCGGGAGGCTGGACTTCGGAGAGACGTCGGTGCTGGACAGTTTCTACGATGCAGGTGAGAAGACAAAGTGATCCCCGCTCGAACTCTTTCAAAAGTCTCCTGTTTGTCCAAAGTTGCGTAAAAGTCTGTGGAACAACAGTTACGCAATAAAAAAACCAGTTGAAACAATGTTACACCAAGTGTTTCCAACATGCACGTGCACGTCTGTAGCATGGCTCGAGCTATACAACCTGATGTGGTAAATTTGCATTAGTCATTAAATGTTAGACGTGATTTATGAAAAGTGTCAGCTGATACCTTAGATGAGCCAATAATAAAGATAACAACTTCAATAAAAACAAGTTTCCAAACACCCAGGGGCACCAAACAATACATCACAAAGAAACATGTGACAATTTAGAGTGGGAGACACAAACTCCACAACATATGCAACACGAGATTAGTTAGAAAAAACCAAAAGCAAAGTTTGCAATCAAGTCAGAACGACCTGGAAGAATCTATTAGACGTTATTGTGGATGCACCACAAGCTGCAGTTTTAATGGGATGACTTTGCAAAAGCGTTAAAGAAACCAGATGAAGAATGAAAGGATGTTTTCTAATGTATAAGCCAACATGTGGGTCATAAAACAAACTTCCGAGTGTTTGTTCTATAAAAGGTTTTGAACGAGACTGGATGATGGAGTGAGCTCAGATAGAAAACCCAGTTTTATTAACATCCCGCCGAGAGACAGAGAGTTTACCTGTTCATCATTCAGGTTATTTATATACGTGCAGAATCAACATATATTTTATTTGCATTGAGTTATTTGTTGCTTCATGAGTATAACCTTTAAATGAAGGCTTCCCGAGCAGAAAGATGTGGTTTGTTAATGTCTGCACACAGATTCATATTATCTGGTATCCTTGAGGTATTTTTAAACTGTTCTTTTTTATCGGAATTGCAATTAATTAAAAGAAAACTCCATCTCCCGGAAGGATGACACCCAACTTTCTTCTTTCTCCTCTCATAATGCTGCAGAGGATAAAAAGGCCTTCAAACTCTTGTCCAGAGACACAAAAGAAAAACCATCACCAAACAGAGATGGAAGAGAAAGAAGCAAAGCAAAATACTGAATTTACTTTATAAAGATTTTCTGCCTTTTTGTATAAGTTCGGACGTCAGTGATTTGCTCAAGGCCAGATGGATTTCAAGCTTTAAGAATGCCCTCGTCTTATTTGTGCACAGAGTGGGATTGTGTGAAGGTCAAACTGTGACCTTACAGACACGATCGTGTTGTTTTCACCCTCCTCTTCTTAATCTCCCTCCTTCCAGACATCGCCGTGGTGGATATGAGTGACGTGTTTCGGCAGCCCTCTTTGTTTTACCACCTGGGCGTCAGGGAGAGTTTCGACATGGCCAACAATGTCATCCTGTACCACGACACTGACCCCGACACTGCACAGTCACTGAAGGTACACACACACACACACACACACACACACACACTTCCTGGATGCCATACCTCTGCGCCTCCTTAGAACAAAGTCATCCACTAAGTTATTTACAGACTAGTGTGTGTGATGAGTGTGTGTGCCTGCTGGTCAGTGTGTGTGTGTGTGTGTGTGTGGTACAGTCCGTCTGTGCTGCCGGGGGGAAAACAGCTGTTTCAAGTAGTTATGTGGCCGTATAACACAACAGTACACACATGCACACATGCACGCTCACACAAACCAAATCCACTCTGACACGCTCTCTGTTGTTTCTCCTTGCAGGACATGGTGGCGCAGAAAAACACGGCAAGTTATTTTCTGTGTGTGTGTGTGTGCTTCGTTGTGATTTATGTGCACAGTCTCAAGCCAATGTGTGGAAATAGTATTCGTGACTTGTGTTGCTGGTCCTCACACATGTGCATGTAGGCACACAGTTACACACACACACACACACACACACGCACACACACACACACAGAAACACACACATGCAAGCCTCCTGAATTGTACCATTGCATTATTAGTGGCATTATTTATAGCAAATGTTTTTTTAATGAGAGTGTATTGTGTTTGTGTGTGTGTTTGTGTGTGTGTGCGTGTGTTTGTGTGTATGTGTGCGTGTGTGTGTGTGTGTGTGTGTGTGTGTGTGTGGGGCACAGGCCACTCGTCCTCCTGCATTAGGTTTTCCCTGGGTTCAGTTGCCTCCAGAGTACAGAGGCTCTGGATTGCGCAACAAAGTAGGTACCATGCTGCACCAAAGCATGCTGGGAGATTTTGTCCAAGACTAATAATAACAACAACAGACATGGAAGCGGGGCTGAAACCACTGAGCCTCCCATGACATGTTGCATGAATAACAAATTAAATCCTCCTGCTGGCAAGATGGGAAGTTGGAGAAAATAATGGAAATTCCTTGATAGGAGGTAAAATAACAAAATGGAGGATGTTTCATCGTAATAAATACTTTAAATCAGACGAAAACAAAACCAGGGTGGAAGAAGAGAAGGTTAAAAGAAAGAGGAAGAAGATGTTGAGTTGCAGAGTTTGTGTTTGTGTGGATTAGTTTGCTGATTCCACTAAACATCTGATCCTCCTCATGAATCACTTTCTAATCCACGTTCCTGCTTGAACTGCTTTTAAGCCCGGCATCATTCTCAGCATCCCACATGCAGCTGTAATGTGTTTACATCATGTTCTGTCTTCTCTCAGGCCTCCAGTGGAAACTACTACTTCATCCCCTACATCGTGACTCCTAACCACGAGTACATGTGCTGCGAGAGCGACGCCCAGCGCAGGGCCAGCGAGTACATGCAGCCGAGCTGGGACAACCTGCTGGGGCCGCTCTGCGTCCCCCTGACCGACCGCTTCACCAGCCTGCTGAAGGACATCCACGTCACATCCTGGTGAGAGTGAATACAGGACGTCAACTTCAACTGGAGCTGAGGACAGCGTGTCCCAGCACGTATTTTAACCTCTGTGAGCCTCATGGTCTCTGTCCTCTCTCTTGTTATCCTCAGCGCGTCCTTTAAGGACACCCTGCTGAACGACATCAGAAAGGCCAGGGAGAAATATCAGGGAGAGGAACTGGCCAAGGAACTTTCCCGCATCAAGCTCCGGATCGACAACACCGAGGTCCTCACACAGGACATCGTCATGAACCTGCTGTTCTCCTACAGAGACATTCAGGTACTAACACAACACGGGAGCATTTAATCCATCTTTACTTCAAACACGAACTAAATCTTCCATCCGACCACCAGGACTATGACGCCATGGTGAAGTTGGTGCAAACCCTGGAAATGTTGCCGACTTGTGATCTGGCGACTCAGCCCATGATCCAGTTCCACTACGCCTTCGCTCTCAATAGGTAGACAACAACAACAACAACACAACTTCTTCATGCACAAAATGACTTATTTTGTCTTTTAAATGTTCATTGCTGATTTTCAGGCTTTTCCATCTCCTATGTAAATGAAATGCAACAAGTCAGCGTGTGTATCTGTGCAGGAGGAACAGTCCTGGAGACAGGGAGCAGGCTCTGACAGTGATGCTACAGGTGCTGCAGTCATGTGAGCATCCTGCGCCCGACATGTTCTGCCTCTGTGGACGAATATACAAGGACATCTTTCTGGACTCTGACTGCAAAGACATGAAAAACAGAGACAACGCCATTCAGTGGTAAGAGCACAGGAGCAAAACGCTGTGTGTGCCGTGGTCTACGTCGTCCGGCGTGTTCATTCATAATGTGCCGTCCTCCACCTGCAGGTACAGGAAGGGTTTTGAGCTGCAGCCCACCCTCTACTCCGGCATCAACCTGGCCGTCCTGCTCATCGTGGCTGGTCAGCAGTTTGAGAGCTCCATCGAACTGAGGAAAATAGGTGAGAGGACCCTGAACGTGACGCTCCTCGACAAACGGTTGTTTACCCACTTCATCGATACTGATACGATGATGTCTTAGGTGTGAGGTTGAACAGTTTGCTGGGACGAAAAGGATCCCTGGAGAAAATGAACAACTACTGGGACGTGGGACAGTTCTTCACTGTCAGCATGTTGGCCAGCGACATCCCCAAAGCTACTCAGGCTGCAGAGAAGCTCTTCAAACTGAAGCCACCTCTCTGGTAAACACATTTATTTAAAGTTTCAACTCAGCAGCTCTGGTTTCCCTTCAGGCACGGCACAAAAATCGGAATAATCAATCTCAGTCTGCGGATTCATTTCATCTTCTTTATCTTCCAGGTATTTGCGGTCGGTGGTGCAGAACCTGCAGCTGATCCAGAGGTTCAAGAAGCAAAACTTGGAGCATTCTCCTCAGAGGGAGAGACTGAACTTCTGGATGGACATCATCGTCGAGGCGACGCAGCGCACCACCAATCGACTGCGGTTTCCGGTACGAAATTCTCAATTTGACACACGCTCCGACAGATGCAGCATTCAGAGCCAAACACGTCTTTTCATCTTTCTTTCTCAGGTGTTGATTCTGGAGCCAACGAAGGTTTACCAGCCCTCGTATGTTTCCATTAACAACGAGGCAGAAGAGAAGAACGTCTCCATCTGGCACGTTTCTCCTGCTGAAACTGTGAGAATGTTATTATTGCACCTGCCGGGTTTAAAACCGGATTTTGTTCATAAATACATAGAAAATGTGCAGAAAATTTGACACGATTGAAACTGAGCTTGTCTGAGGTGTTAGAGTTGATTTATTGATAAAATTAAATGAACAAGTTTGCAACTTAAAAATGTGAAATCACTTTTGTTACAGAAAGGTATACACGAGTGGAACTTCACTGCAATGTCCATAAAAGGCATCAGGTACGGTTATATTTCAATAGATCTTTTTAAATTC